TTATTTTTAATATATATGATTCATTAGATACATATAACTTATTGTACATAAAAAACATTAAAGTGTTCTACAACTCTAATGGTGAGGAACTAATTGTTTTACATAGAGGTCCAATGTTCAATTCCTTTAACACCCAAAATTTTAAAAAACAAGTTTGAAAACCGGTTAATCGGCTGGGTTAACTCGGTCAAAATCCCCGATTAACTCGATCAAAGTCGATTTTTGACTGAGTCATATGCATTGCTATTAAATTAATCTACCCGACCCGAAAAAGGGCCCAGGTCACCGATCGGGTCGAGTTTTATAACTATGCATAAGACCGATTGACATTTCTTGTCGCATACATCAATCAATCAATGCATTAAATGCTAGAGCCACTTTTGTATCCATAAGGCCTAGCGTGGCAGTTTGGATTTGACCATATAGGTGTGCAGAGACGGCGATGGTAGTGAATTATCTTGTCAATTATTCAATACAAGGGATCTTGTAATCGCCTCGTCAATACCGGTTCCTACATGAGAGTCTGTCTAAAATGGGGTCAGTCCAATCTCGTTCTATGGAGAGAAGGGGGTCGTCTACATCTCAACAGGTCGCCTTTATATAATTGGGTCGTCCGTGTCGTGTAAGGCTTGGGGCCCCCAGACTGCCTGCCACGTAACTGAACTAGTGCCATGCGCGGCCTTTGATTTATCTCATGAGTAACAATGTACATCAAATGATGTACACTTAGCATTATTGTTTCATAATACTCCAAATCCGCAATAGTTCGTAAGGGTTAAGTAATATATATCTGTACAATTTATAGAATAGTTAATAATTTCTACTCAATTAAACAAATTAAATTCTTAGTATTTGAGTAAAATATTTATGATTTTGTAGATTTTCTCTTTAAAAAATTCTGGACGCTCAATAAGTAACATTAATGATGGTCTTGTTTGTTATGTGTATACACCTTCTACCACACGAGTTTTGAAACTCATGTGGCCAGCCTTCAAGCATTTTATCTTAGTTTTTGGTTATATCTTGATCGCGACTTATGAAGAGATTGGGATTCGTATAGCTGAGTTGTTGCTATTGATCTAACGCCAATTGAGAGAGCATGAGATTCATTCTTTTGGACTTTCTAAGCTAAAACTTTTTTTGGTAATGACTGGCTACCGACCAAATTATATATTTATTGACAAATTGTTGATTCTTATTTTAGAAATTTGCTCTTTTTCAGTTTAATCCATTAATTTATCGAATATTAATTCATAGGGGCCATATTTTAATTGAATTAATTACTAGAGAGAAATTTTAAACCAGTGACTCACTCATTGTGAATTAATTTGGTCTACGTTGTGATTATGACATTTGTCCTAAATCATGGTTTAAATTGA